ATAATAGAATTAAAATGTTGAAAATAATTTTAATGAAGTTAGAGTAACAATATTCTTATAATATAAAATAATGATTTTATCTCTTGGTCATCTGTAATTATTAGAAAGCATGAAGAAATCGATCACTCCGAGTCTTCGACTCGGAGCAATCGATATCTTCATGTTTTATAAAAATATTTTTATAAATTGTTTAATTTAAAAAAAGTTTGAATTTGAAATTTTTGAATGTCTTAATTCCTGTGGAAAATCCTGTTTTAAAAATAAGATCAAAAATAGGAATTTTGCAAATATTTTTCTTCTTTTTCTAAAACAAAATAATAATTTTGTTTAAAAAATTGTGTTTCATAAAGAAAAATAATGCAAAATAAATAAATTTTCTATTTCTTAATCGCAGTTGTTTGACAATTTTCTAATTTTGTTTAGAAGTAGAAAACAAAAATCTGCATAATTTCAATTTGACAAAAAATAATATTTAACAAAATTTTAGTCTTTTAATGAAAAGAAGTGAAAAAAAATTCTGATGATTTTTATTTGTCATTACAATTTTGAATTAATTTATTAATTATGAAATAAAAATAATAATATAACATACAATCTATCTAAAGATAACAAAAAACAAAACTATAAATAAAAGACAACTTCAGAGTGTGAGGGACAAAAAAAATGAATGAATCAAAGAATGAAAGAACATTCAAATTATTATAGTTAATTATTATTATTTTTATTATTATTGTTGTAGTTGTTGTTGGTATTATTATTGTTGCTGTTGTTATTAGTATTATTATTATTATTTTCACTACTATTATTACTGTAGTAAAATGTTTGAACATATAATTCAAATTGATATTTTCCTCGTGAAAATATTAAAAGGATTTGATGAAAATTTGATTCCTCTTATTGTGATAGTGACTTCATCATGAAGCAAGAAATTTCCATTAAGATTTTCTCAGTACAACTTCATCTTGTTTGAAATTAATGTCATTTTCTTGCAATGTTACACAATTTGAATGAGGAAGAGTCATACAGAAGTTGTGTTCAGTTACCTCTTGCCCATTCCCTCTCTCTTCCTCACTCGCTCTATTTCCCCACCTTACTACCAGAACATAAAGCATTGTATAATGCTTGCGACGAGACCAAGAATCCTTGCGGGCCTGTACAAAATTTATGCAGATGCATGCCAGTAATATTCTAAATAAGTTGATACGCCACTACTACCACCAATTCTGTATATACCAGTTTCAACCAGCGTCATTATGATCGCGCTTCAGGCTTTCCTTCTTATCCAAAGTCGTGCGGCTTTCCTACCATTTCTCTCTCTCGCTTACTTGCTCTCTCAAACCCTATGTCTCTCTTTCTCTCTACAAGCGTCATCTGTACAACCCGGAACCCCTGAGTAAAACCTTCTCTGTTTTCATAATTAATTTTACGCTTCTTCCGCTCGTTACGAATAGAAAAATTAACAAGGAAGTTGTATTTTTTTTCATTGACAATTTATATTTCGAAAAAAAAACTATAGGGATGGGTGTTGACAATTAGTGAAAAAAATTTTAGTCAATTATTATTTTTGAATCACAGTAGTAGGTTAGGACAGTAAAGATTAGAATTTTTCTATTTTGTATGTAGGGTAAGTAGTACAAGCAATTTTAAGTCAGACATAATTTTTCATCTTGTTATTTCAGTAGTGTTAGTGATAAAGGTCAATTTTAGTCAGACGGTTTCTTTAAATGCCTATAATTTATTATAAGCTATACTATACTACTAGTAGTAATAGTAGTAGTATTAGTAATAATAGTAGTAGCATTTGCAGATTAGTATTAGTAGTACTAGGAATATTATTAGTAGTACTAGTAGTAATGGTAGTAGCATTTGCAGAATTAGTATTAGTAGTACTAGGAATATTATTAGTAGTACTAGTAGTAATGGTAGTAGCATTTGCAGAATTAGTATTAGCAGTACTAGGAATATTATTAGTAGTACTAGTAGTAATGGTAGTAGCATTTGCAGAATTAGTATTAGCAGTACTAGGAATATTATTAGTAGTACTAGTAGTAATGGTAGTAGCATTTGCAGAATTACTATTATCAGTACTAGGAATATTATTAGTAGTACTAGTAGTAATAGTAGTAGTAGTAGTAGTAACAGTAGTAGTTGTAGTCGAACCAGTATTAATAGTAGCATTAGTAGAAAAAGGTAATTTTAGTCAGCCAGTTTTGAAAATTACAAAAATTCGAACGTCTGACTAAATTTTACCTTTACTACTAATACTGTGAATTTGCACAGTATTAGTAGTCATTTACTCAGACATTACAGCCCTAAAAAAAATAATTCTGATTTACTTTAAAAATCAAATTTCAGTAGTAGAACTAGCAATTAAGTCAGACAAGAACACAGTCGTAAAAGTGAATTTTTGCGGCGAATATTTGCAAAAAAAGGAATTAACTACATTATTATTAATATCCAACTAAAAACTATTATTTATTTTCAATTAAGTCAAAAAATAAATACAATTCTTATTGATTATTTTACACGTTTACGATTATATGGAGGCGAAAAATAGTTTTAATATGAATTCAAAAGGACGTGACAGGTCGCTAATTTGAAATGCAGATACGTCGTTCACCCATTTGCATTGTGACATAGGTTTCTCAACGTGTAAATCTCAGTGTCTATACTATATTATTATTCTGACACTTTGCGAACACGTTTAAGTCACTTATACATCATATAACCAACATATATCTAGCTCTATGTCAAATCGTTTTCAAAAAGTACATTTCATTTTAAAATTCTATATTCAAATTTTAAAAATTACACTTGTAGAATAATTTTGAAGATTTTAATATTTGAATATTTGAAAAAAATATTACTAAAATAGTAAAAATATTAATAATATTAATAATAATAATAATAAGTAATAATAGTAATAACAATACTAGTAATAGCAATAATAATAATAGTAATAGTAATAATAAAAATAAACCAAAATAATATATACATGTAAATAATTTTTTATCACTTCCCTTAATTTATATTCAACTCGATTGAAATTTTCTTGTCGTTTTACAATTATATTCTGATATTAAATATTAATTGCATTAAAATATGTATTTCTCTGATTGACGTAGAATTTTTAATGCACTGCATTAATGTGAAATATCGAGAAAAGAAAGATAATATAGGTTACGAGTATATCTTACATAATAAATGATTTATTGGAAGAATTTAATTCAATTTTTCATATGGAAATTAATATTCATATATTTTTTTTGTACTTTTGCAATGATATATATGTGATTAAGAAATTATGTATGATAATTTGAAATATTCAAAAAAAATTTCCCTCTGTAACTCTAAAATTAATAAATAACGATATTCCATTCTAGTTTTTTTTTCATATTCTTTTCGTTTTTTATTTTAAAGAAAAAAGAAAATTAGATAATAGGGGAAAATATTCCGAACACGTGAGACAAGAGAAACTTGTCTCTAAAATTAAACGAAAACTACATCTCTGGGAGGAACTAGAGATTAAAAGGTTGTATTTTACCCTTTAATTATGTACTTTTGCTATTAGTATTTTAACGCGCTGTTAGTATTCAACATTTTTTTTTTTTTCATTTTGGTAAATCCAACTTTCTTCAGTGTCTTCAAGAATGTTGAATTTGGTTTTTTCTTTTCAAAGAAAGAGATTTCATTTTATCTATTTTTCGCTATTTAATCAATGCTTTCTTTAAGGTATCAAATTACTATTAGGAATTAGAAATCAGAAAAGTTAATCGAAAATTTTTTTTATATCTCAAATTGAGTAATTTAATCCTAATTTCCAAATAATTTCTTTAGAAAAAAAATTAAACTCGAGTTAATAGTGAAATACTGATTGAAATAAATAAGTAGGTACTTATAATTAGGAAAAGAAATCTGTCAATATTTAGTGAAAATATCCATAAAGATGTGATTTGCAATGTACAAAATATACAAACATATATATGTTTAACCAATATAAACATAAATACAGTTTGTAACTAATTATCTATGATTGATGTAACGGATAGTCATCAAAAGGATAAAAGGGAAGAGATATCATTGAGAGAGAGAGAAAGGAGAGGAGAGGAGTGAGAAGTGGTGAGAGGAGAAAAGGGTACAAGTGGAAAGGGAGAGGTGGCGTTATGTTGGGGAAATAAATCAGAAAATCAATTCGGTAAAGCCGTGTATCATAAATAGAACGTGGCTTATTCGATCCACGTATGCTGTGACCGCGCCGAAACAAATGACATAACGTTTTAAACGAAAACAGAAGCATTTCAAAAGTTTTGGTAGTATTTGTATGGGCGACACACACACACATGTATAATAAGGGTGGAAATTTGAATTTTAGAATAATGGTGAAGGTAGCAAAAAAAAAAAAAAAAATTGGAGAAAACAAAAATACGCATTAGGTATACGGATTTGAAATGTAGATAACATGTGTACGCAATTTTCGGAAATGAGATTAACTTTTGGAAAGCAGACGAAATAACAGTGAAATTCAATGGAAGGGGGCCAAAATGAGCTTTTGGGAGAAATGCGGAAAACCGTAGGTTGTAAATACATTCGTTGGTAATGATGATGTACTTTCTTTTGTGTATTAATGCGTATTTCTGTTTCGCTTCTTTTTTTTGTAAATGTATTCAGGTGGGTCTAGTTTGTATTTTTTCCACTTCATGAATATTCTACTTTTTTACTTTTTATTTTTTTTTTATTGAAGAAAACTTAAATTAAAAAAACTTTTCAACGCTAAAAACCTTCGACTCGGAATGATCGTTAACAATTTTTGGTTCTAAAAAAAATTTTTTAGAACAGTTACCATTCTATAAATTTTCAACTATAAATTTCCAGAAGAAAAAATGTCAAGTAATTGAAAGTAAATAAAAATTTTAAAAAATATTGTGATCAGAAATGTAAGAAGTGGAAAAAATCGCAGAAATAATAAAAATACATCTTTCTGATCCCCTGCAGGTACTTACGTGACACATACATGATGCCAGACTTGCTGTTGTTCTCTGAAAGAAGTCTCGATGAGTCTCAAGTCATAAGTATTTATGTCACACACTTGAGAGCCATTCATTAAATTTTAAAGCCACTTTTATTTTCCCAACAAGTACCAAGGAATTTCCAACAGGAAATAAAAATCACAAGAATAATTTTCAAACATTTTTAAAAATTATTTCCCCTATTATAAATTTGTTTAAAACTGTATAAATTTTATAAATTATTTTCATCACTGATTCAAACTGATTCAACTTCTATTTTCTTTCGCTCACAAAAATCGTCGAGTAGATGGATTTTTATAATATTTTGTATATTTTATAATATTTTATTCAATTCATATTCTAATATTCTAATATTTTAATTAATTATTAGTAATATAATTTTAGAAGACTTTGTAATAAAAATTGTATAGTAACAAAAAATTGCCTCGATTATTTATTTAAATATATAGACGAGACATAAATTATATTTATAGAAGTGTATAATGCATATTTAAAAAATGATTCGATTGTCACCAGATGTTTAAAAGTTTTACAGACATTCACTGAAATTTGTCAAATTCTTTATTTAATCCATTAAAATATTAATGTTTAAATCTTTATTTTCATTAATTTTGAATTAATTTTTAACTTGTTTTCTACTAATTTCTACTTAATTTTTAATATATTTTTAATTTATTTTTAAGTTAAATAAAGTTCATTTAATTGATTGTCAGCAAATGACCGCAATATGTCACCGCGTGAATATAATGACAAGTTGTGTGTTTGTGTCTGTGTATTGAAAATTATATATTAAAAATTTATAGATAAGTATATCAAAATGATGAGAGAAAGAAGAGAATGAGAGTAAAAAAAAGTGAATAAAAAAGAAGGGATATATTTTCAATAACCTGGACGCTTTTCCGTTACGTGTTAAGTATATCTGACATCTTCAGCGTGAATTTCAATTTTCAACCTTTTCCTTTTAAAGGCTTCTCAGAAATTTTAGTGAGCAGATGCCTCTGACATGCGGACAATATTTTTCAATAATATCGATTCGACCCGAAGAATCCGCCACATCTTTAGTAAAAATATTTGTGTGCATTTAGGCATCCATAAAAAATTTTTTTTTTATCTCTCCAGCGACAAATTTTGACAAAAAAAAAAATTGTCAAACAAAAATAAAGAAACTAAAAGAAACATTGATGAATTAATTTTTCGAAAATTGCTAATTGAAGAAAAAGAAAAATTCGAAGAATTAAAAAAAGGTTTAGTATGGAAAATAATTTTTTTTTTGTATATATTCGGTGTGTAAGTAACTTTAATTATAAAACCGTGCTTATAGTCAGACATGCAGGTATAATTTCAATTCTCAATGCTAATTCCTCCTGGGTTTGCAAGATGCGACGGTAGCTTTAACCGCGCACGTAGATGCAAATTAACTTTGAGAAACAATCTTGCTGTTAACTCTCCGTATAATAGCGAAGGCATGGATTCCCTGTCCCCCTACCTGCTATTTTGTTAGCCTCCCTCCCCTCCCGTGCCACCCCTTCTCAGCTCTCACCTTGATATCCTTGTCTTCATACTGTTCCATATTGCGAAATTGACTCGAAACTTACTCACAGTGCGTAAACAATTCCTAATATCTTATACCCTTTCATAGATAACATTTCGACATTTACAAACTCGGAAAAAAAAAATTTAATTAGTTTTTATTATTCAAAATTATGAGAAATATGAAAAATTTATTTATTCGAATTTTTTGAGAATTGTAATTAATTAAAATGAGTGGAAAGAAATTTTTTATTTTTACTTTGATAAATTTTTGTTTAGCTAGAATTATTTTCTTCAGAGTTAAAAAACTTTCGTTAAAAGTTTTTTTCTAGTACCTAATTAAATTTCTTCGATTCGATAAAATAGTAAATTAGTCTTTTATAAAATTCAAAAAGCGTAAATATATTTCTTTTTAATAGACAAATAATAATTGGTTAAAAATCAAATTATTTTCAAGACACAAATTAATGTCAAGTAACAAAATATTTTTAAAAAGCAAATTATTGTTAAGAAATAAATTATTGACAATAGAGAAAAAAATTGTTGTCAAGTAAAAAATTATTCTCAAGAAATAAATTATTGGCAAGTAACAAAATATTGTTAAAAATCAAATTATTGTCGATAAATAAATTATTACCAAGCAACAAATTATTTTAAAGAAACAAATTATTTCATTAAAACAATTATTATTAAGCAATAAATCATTGTCAAGAAATAAAATTATTTTTAAAAACCAAATCATTGTCAAGCAACAAATTATTCTTAACAAACAAATTATTGTTAAGAAATAAATTCTTGTCAAGTAACAAAATATTTTATTGAAAATAAATTATTGCTAAGCAACAAATTATTGTCAATTAACAAATTAATCTTAAAAAATAAGTTTTTGTGAAGTAACAAATTATTTTTAAAAGATGAATAATTATTGTTAAGCAAGAAATTATTGGTAAGAAATAAATTCCTGTCAAGAAACAAAATATTGCAAAGAAACACATTATTTTGTTAAAAAAATAATTGTCAAGCAATAAATTATTGTCAAGAAACAAAATTATTTTTAAAAACCAAATCATTGTCAAGCAACAAATTATTCTTAACAAACAAATTATTGTTAAGAAATAAATTCTTGTCAAGTAACAAAATATTTTATTGAAAATAAGTTATTGCTAAGCAACAAATTATTATTGTCAATTAACAAATTAATCTTAAAAAACAAGTTTTTGTGAAGTAACAAATTATTTTTAAAAGATGAATAATTATTGTTAAGCAAGAAATTATTGGTAAGAAATAAATTCCTGTCAAGAAACAAAATATTGCAAAGAAACACATTATTTTGTTAAAAAAATAATTGTCAAGCAATAAATTATTGTCAAGAAACAAAATTATTTTTAAAAACCAAATTATTGTCAAGCAAAAACTTGTTTTTAACAAACAAATTATTGTTAAGAAATAAATTCTTGTCAAGTAACAAAATATTGTTAAAAATCAAATTAATGTAAATAAATAAATTATTGAAAAGCAATAAATTGTTGTAAAGAAACTAATTATTTTGTTAGAAACAAATTATTGTCAAGGAACAAATTATTATTTAAAACGCAATTTATTGTTTCATAAACAAAAAATTGTTTAATGAAATAAATATCGTTTAATAAATAAAAAAATATTCAATAAACAAATTGCTTGCAACTAAATTTTTTTAAGTTGATAAAATGTGCGTAAAAAATTCATATATTGTTATTAATAAAAAAAAATTATATAGAAATATAAGAAATAATTAATTGTTGAAAAAGTATCAAACCTTTTTTGTTTTCTTTAAGAAGCTGCAATTAAACTCAAGTTACACAAACACTCGCGATTTATAATACTTCGAAACACAAAAAAAAGAAATCCAAAAAAAAGGAAAAATATACTGATAGTATTTTTGAATAATTCATTTTTAGAATAATTATTTAAAACTTTTTGTTTCAATATTATTTTTTCAAATATTTAAAAAGGCGTACACTTTTTAACAGACAAGTTTAAACACGTTGACTCACGAATAAATACTAACTTAAAATGAGAAAATTTTGATTTTTTGCCACAAAATTAAGACGCCCATTGTTCGTATCTAAATGTAAACAAACAACAATGACCTGCACCCAAAGCAGAAACAATTCTATTTTTTCCCTGTATTTAAATTATCTCTATAATAAAATTTCAAAATTTCAAATATTATTTACCATTGAAAATTGAAACAAATGTAAAATTAATTATATTTTAATAAAAACAGTAATTAAAATAAAGTATTCAAAAAAAATAGAATTAACTACTAATCATTAACTTCTAATATATATATTTTTTAATAACTCTCTCTCGTAAAATAATTATTAAAAAAATTTTTGTTACAATTGAAAATTTTCTTTCGCAAATATTAAGAACGCGTAAACTCATACAACACATAAACAAGTTTAGACACGTCGATGCCGAAATACAGACTGTCTCCAATTTAGACAATTCTCAAAATTTTCAATTTATTACCACAGAATTTATACGCCCATTGTCCGTATCTAAATGTAAACATACCACTAAATGACCTGAATCCAAAATAGAAACAAGTCTATTGTCCCATTCAATCTAAATTATCTTCTCTGCAATAAAATTTCAAATATCATTTCAATTTGAAAAATTAAAAGTTTTTCAAAAATTACTCAAATTTATTATTAATAATAATACTGGGAAAAGTTCTTTTTTGTATAAAATTACAATTCTACAAATAAAAAATAATAAATAAATGTTTTCTTTTTAAAAGAATGATTTCTTTAATAAAACATTTTTTTTTTTTGCAAAAATGTATAGAGTGTTTTTTTAAAAAACACTTCTTGTGGGTATTTTCATGATAAGAACTACGCCCTAAATATAATATATGTATTTTTTTCTCTTCTAACTGTAAATAAATATTTTTTTTTTTGTTCGCGATACTTATCATATATGTGTAGGCACACGCGGTCTTGAATAATGGTCATCCATTTCTATCGAATCATTGATAAATGGAGTTTTCTCCTTGGTTATCGCTCAAGCTCGAGGAGGTACAGTGATAGGGTGGTGGAGGCTGTGTATTAGGTAACGCTTGGAAAAAAAAATCAGGGCTTGCACCTTGAAAAATTCTCAAGACGCCGATCGATAGTTGATGCGAGTGACTGAAGGTATAAAAATATATATGAGTAAATTATAATATTGTATTATATGTAATATTTATGTATATAATATTATTGTGCACCTTTTTTTATCAACTTTTCGTACTTATTTAATTACTGGATCTATATAAAAATTTCAAAAATTTATTTTTTGTAATTGTACTATATGTTTATTATTTAAATCTCTCTCTTGCAAAATTTTTAATCACAATTTTAAAATGTATAGTAGAATCCAAGAATTATTATTATTTTTATTGACATAGTTTAATAATAATAATAAAGCATTTGTTTTATTTTATAAACAATTGA